AATAAAGGGTCAATATTTATGGAATAAAAGAAAAGGTGAATGAATGAATGCACAGGAGAGAGTGGGTATCCTGTCATCAGCATATGTGTCCCAGTTGATAACTAAGTAAATAATGTAGAAAACCCTTGGGAGTGAGGAACAGTATTGTTTTGCAGATACCTCTAGCTTGTGTAGTACATTCTGGGAATATAGTAGGTATGTGTGATAATGTTTAGTCAAATGTGTGAATTTTATATGTCTATAAATGCTTGTAAAATAACAGCACTTACTAAATGCTGTCAGGTAGTATGTATAAACACTTTGTATTATCTCATTTAATTTTTACAATAATATTGTTATAAAGTATTACTATGCCCATTTTACATGTGAATTTAGTGAGGCTTAGAGAAATGAAGTACCTTGTCCTGCGTTATAAAACTAGTAAGTGCACATGAGAATGAGAATTTGATCACATCTTTCAATTCTGTTTAAGTTATATAGACATTGTGTCACTGAAAATTTAAAAATCCATCAGCCTGCTTTTAAGCAAGATAAAAAATAAAAATAAAAAAAATTTTAAACCCTACTAACAGTGACAAATAAGGGATTTATCACACAGAGGAAGGTATCCAGCAGCACAGGCCTGGTATAGCACTTAATTATATTATCAGAAGCCCTGGGGGGAGGGGGGGCAAGGGCAACATACATAACCTAAACATCTGTACCCCTATAATATGCTGAAATGAAAAAAAAAAAAAAAAGAAGAAGCCCTGGGTCTTTTCATCTTTCTTCTGTACCATGCCCAGCATGTGACTACATCCTCATTATTATGTTTGCAAGTTGGCTGCTGCATCTCTGGGCATTGCACCAAGTTCCCAGGAAGGAGGAATGATGAGATGTCTTGTAAACAACTTTCTTAGAGGCCCCATTAGGTGACTTGTGCTTCTGTCTCATCGGGTAGAACTAGAGTTAACATGGCCACCCCTTGCTGCAGTGAATCTAGGAAAGTGAGTATTATTGATGACTTTTTTGGTATTGTTTTGGATCTTTTAGTTTCTTCAAGTGTATCATTGGAAACCCTAGTATTGAGAATTGTGTGACTGCAAAGGTCAAGCATCCTGACAGGTTTTTTAAGTTGGGGGGCATTGTTGCCAGATTGTGCTTTAGAGAAGATGTGCTCTGATGGCTGTGTGGTGAATTGGGGGGTGATAGAATGGAAGCAGGAAGAGACTGTTAAGGAGACTTACAATGGTCTAGGTAAGAGCTCTTAATGGCCTGAACTAGGAAAATGTTTATAGGAATGAAGAGGAGCCTAAAAATTCCAAAAGGATGTAGGAAATCAAATGGAGAGGACTCAGTGGTTGATAAACTCTGGAGAATGAGGAGTGAAGAATCAGAGATGACTTGGGTTTTTAGTAGAAATGAGTGAATGGTGCCACCAACTGAGATTAAAGAAGAGTAGAGGAGAAAGTTTAAACTGGGTTGGCTTTTTAGACACAATGGCTTTGAGGTATCCTGGGTTTTTCTTCATGTGCAGATCTTTAGCCACCAACTGGGAAAGGATTGTGATAGATTTGTTAAATGTCACAAATATTTTTTTTCTTGATAATTTCCCTTGGATTTTTATTTGCTTTTTGTTGTCTGAACATTTCTAACATTTGTATAGTCAATTCTGTTAATCTTCTATGTTTTTGGCTTTAGTTCATAGTAAGAGATGGCCTTTTTCATCGCCAAATGATAAAACTATTAATATTTACCAAATTTTTTCTTGTTTTCATATGATTTAAATATTGTATTGATCAGGATTTTATTCTGGTGAATAGGACGAGGTAAGGAAAGAACAGGGAAGAGCATTTTCAATTGTTAGAATACCATTAATGTGATTTCTATTTCCAAGGTGTAATATAAAACATGAAAATACTGAATTTTTCTTTTAAAAATACCTCTGACATTAGGTGTTTTTAAATGGTGTTGCTGTTTTGAGAAATGCTCTGCTGTTTGTTTCTTTCAAAAAATAACATCCTAGGCC